ACAGTCACCGCAACAACAACATACCCACCCAACATAGGCTGAAATCATAGGGGAGGGCTTAAGGGCCCCCCCTGTGAAAGACCCTAGGAATAATTTAAAATTATTCTGACCCCCCTTGAGTTAGTTTTCAAAAATTATTCTGGTAACTGGTTGAGTTCCAGGAATATTTTTTAGCTTTCTCTATATCTTCATATAAAAAACATATCAACACAGCGACTCACACAGCAAGAGCAATCTGACATAATCTGACTCATTCTGATGAACCGTTCTGATGAACTCTTCCCATATTGTGAAAGACTTCGACATGGCTGCAAAATGCTGCCAATCTAAAATCTAAATCTGAACATTGGTTTTCCTATGTTTTCCTTGGTTTTGTACATGGCCAGCGATTGCTAGCTTCTTGTATTCCTTATATATCCTTATATATATTTGTTGTTTCTTGATGTTTCTTGTTTGAGCCTCTCACTCGCGTCCAGCTGCTGACTTCAGATCATCAAACGTCGCAACTTGAGTATTCTTGAAAATTATTCCAGGGGGCCCTATGACTAGCCCTTTGATAAAATATTAATCCACCAAAATTATTCCAAAAAAATTATTCCGCTATCCCACAGGTCCCCTGGAATAATTAAATAAGCCATCCCCTATCTGAAATCACTCCCTCCTTGAGTGTTTGTAATGTTTCGTACTGTAACGTCTTGGGTCCCTTGCATTTTATCCAAGCACCTTGCCAGCACACAATCTAAGCACACACAACGCAGCACAACCTTCCAAATCATGGCAACAAATGGCTGAAATCCACCCACCCTGAGTTTTGAAATGTTTTGGAGACTCTTTGAGGTCTTGGATCTCATCTTCAACCAACCAATCCATCACACAACCCAACACCAAAGCCATCCTTGCTGCCAACAAAGGCTATGACACAATGACTGGCAATCAGTGGAAAGATTGGACAGTGTATATATATATATTGTCATTTTTTGGCCAAATAACATCCCCACAACAAACCACCACCACCAAAACAACAGTCACCGCAACAACAACATACCCACCCAACATAGGCTGAAATCACTCCCTCCTTGAGTGTTTGTAACGTTTTGTACTGTAATTTCTTGGGTCCCTTTCATTTTATCCAAGCACCTTGAGCTCTACAAAGAGACATGTGGCTAAAAGTGTTTGCACGGTTTAGATTAAATGGTAGGTACCCAACACATCAACTAGTCTTTATTGCTTGCACGCTGGCACACCCAGGCCCTGGATAAATTTTGGTCTGGCCAAGGTACCCAACCTTCCATGGTACCTCATGCCTACAGTAAGGTCAGGGACCAAAATGAAAATAAAATGGCCCCAATGTGGCTAAATAGAATTCCTAGCCAGGTACCCTACCCCTCCCCATTTCAGCCAGGCTAACTGACCGGGGATCTTCCATGCTTCACACCCTGATTCTCGCCTGTTGGGCAGCTGTGGCTGTCGCTCCTGTACCAACGACTGTGGCTATCGCAGGTCGGTCGGGTCGTTCGAAGCAATGGGAGGTCACTTGAGGCCTTTAGAATATACAGGATGCATTTATGCATATAAGACATGTGGTTCTCCATAATGAAGTAGGATGAATAAGGTTGTCTATATTATACAAACAAAAGGCGTGTATGATGCGAATGCACATTAATGAATTGTACCAGGAATCCAACATCCTTTGCTTCCATACTGTGAACGTCACTGCAATGCAGCAGCCGGGATCCTCCAAATCCTCCATAGAAGATCGATGCTTCACCAAGGTACGTGGTTGCCTACCCACAGCAAAAAATTGCCCAGAAATATGACATCTGATGAAATCTGGCTGCCTAGCAGATATCATTAAATCAGTTCCTCGAACCATGCAACGAAGAAGTGTCTACTTCTTAAATCTTCTGAAACACCCAGCATGACCAAGCTCTGGCTTTCAGCCGAGGTCTGAGGTTTCTCAAACTCTTCCAAAACGACCGCCTTGGCAGCTCGGGCGCTGTGTTCCAGCGGGCCTGGGGTGACGAATGCTCCATGATGTTTCAATGGTTCAGTTTGCTTAACCAAACAACGCATCGGTGTGTTTGTGTGCGTGTGTGTTTGCTCGTGGTAGATGACCGGTGTTTGAACATGTTTGGACGATAATATACGATACAGTAATCGTATTAACATGCATGTATTAATCAGGCTAAATCTTTGGGAGTTTGTTGATACTCCATTAACTGTTTGAAACTGCCACCACTATTTAATAGACTATGATCCAATAAAACGCCAAAGTCCAAAGTTGTATACGTAACATTACATGTAACCCATCTTGCGTTCATAGCGCCCAAATCCGTGGCTGCAGATTGAACTGCGGATCATTACGACCATTGAACATGCACCTGTAGGATAGCCTTCCCTTGGTGTCAACCTCCCCATGTTTTGTTATTTGATCCACATCCATGTGATCTGCGGCCTGCGGTGAAGAAGAACACCAGTTAAGTCCAAGCAACAGGTGCAGTGGCTGCAAAGGCCTCCTCATGTGGTTCCTGCGAATGCACATGCCATAGACTTGTGGAAGGAGTCTCTGCATCACCAACGAACACCATATTGTCATATTGAAGTTGTGCCCTAAAATGAGTGTTCAAAAAGAGGTCAACTGCTCAAAACGTCCCTGGACACTGTCCAAAGTGAGTCCCCGCCGCCTGAATGTTTCTTTGCGAGAGCAGTGAGTCCCAGCCTCGGACAGGTGCCAAATCAGTGACTTCATCAAGTTCTCGCGACCTTGGCATTGCACGAATTTGCACGATGGAAGTTCAACCATTTGCTCAGAACGTGACCCTCTCTGTCGGGTTTGGCTGAGGTTCTAACCCCGATCCAGAACAACGTATTTTTGCGGTAGTTGACTGAGAAATATAATTATACATATATATATAATACTATCCAGTTTCCTTATGTTTTCTTGCGTGTAGGTTATCTACGATCACTATGAGGCAAATAAAGATCGCCCGCTGATCAATGCTTTTACTCCAGGCGCACATATCAAGAATTATACTTATACTACTATACCTTTGGACAAAACCCTCAGTTTCTAAAAACCTATTGAATTATTGGAGGACGACGAGGAGCACGGGTTCTGCAAAATCTCCAGTATGGTCTGCAAAAGGCTCTGTGAGGCTCTTGCGGTCAATTCGGTTTTCAATCCTTGTATCATGTTGTATATATTCAGCATGTTCGACTGTCCCATTAGCATCCCAGTGGCGCTCACGGGCCTCCTGTTCCAAGCGAGGGTCGAGCTTGCCTAAGAACATCAATGAACTTTCAAAAAGTAGTGTCTTTGCTCCTAGTAGTAAGGCCAGGAGCCCCTAGTAGCGTCCTTGTTCCTAGTAGCTATGCCCTTTGCTCCTAGCAGCGTCCTGGCCTAAGCGAGGGGCGAGTACAGTACAGTAGATACTGCAAATGTGTTCGCCAGGGTATGCCAGGGTGTGTGGAAACGTGGACATGAAGTTGGCTTTGCGCACGAAAACCAAAGCTTAAGTTCCTGCGGTGTTCCAAGGTTGTTCATGCCTGTTCTGACTTGTGAGGCACTTGTTGATGAAATAACCTGATGAAATGACATGATGAAATGATGAAATGACATGAAACGACAAGTAGTTTGGAAGAAGAATCGTTTTCAAGGTCATGTTTTGTGGATAGTCTTGGTTCGCATTGCTTGTGTTGGTTTCAATTGGTTCCTCTTAGGTGATTCGACTGAGACATGCCGGTTCGGATCGCTGGATCAGAATAGACAACCTCTGATTCGGATTCGTTCCATTTCATGGTCAAACAACCTGAAATAAACATCAAACTCACCCAGCCAAATGTGCAACTCCAATGCACCAACAAGTATGATTGAGCAGGGTATTGTTGTTCGATGTCATTCTGGGTCTTTCATTTCGAACGGTTTGGAGAAAAAACGACAAATCATGCCAGATCAAGAAATTCTTCGGTCGCTTTGAAGCCTTCTGTATGTGAAAAAGAATATCTTGTGCGACTCGCAGTTCCTCAAGACGGTCGAAAAAAAGATCTGACGAGGAAAGCATGCAAAAGGCCAAGTGAGCGACCGGCAAAACCTCAATGGTTTTTTGCAGGGATTGACTAAAGTTATCGTTTTTGGGAGTTCACTATATCGTTTTCCAGTACACCTGGAAAGCCACCTTGAAACAATCAATGTCAAATAGATGCAAGATGTGCACACCCACACACTTTTAGATCTCAACATCTGCGTCTGCAGCTTCTTTCACTGCCTTGCGCTTCCTCTTGGAGCGATCCATGGCTTTTGCCAGTCTCTCTTCATCTCGGGCACACAGATCCTCAAACTGGAGCTCTCTGGACTGGGGGAGCTGTCCTCGAAATCTACCCATGAGAGTCCTGTATTTCCTGATGATCTCATTCACTTGGCCCGGCGCTACAGGTGGTTGGCGCCATGTTGGTTGCTGCCAGTATCCCCTGCGCCACTCTCTGTCTTCTATTGTTATATCTTGTATGGTGAACGAGACCCGCTGCTTCACCAGACTATTGCCTGCCAGGGGCTGAAATAAAGTCACATTGAAACAGGGTGGCTATCATTTGGAAGCATTCTGAAGATACAAATAGGAAAAAATTGTTACTTGAATCTTAGGCGCTGAACACACAGTTCGAGATCCTCACTACCACTACCACCAACACCACTACCGGTGCCTGGGAATTGCGCTGCATGAAACCAGACAAGCAGGAAGTCCAACACCATTGCCCATTCAGACTTAGTTCCAATGCACATCCAATATGGTACGGTCAATTACATGTGCATGTGTGCGACGGTCGAAACTCCTGCTGTGGTGTAGGGTCATGGATGTACTTAGTAGACGTACTTAGTAGTTGGCAGTTAGCAACAGCAGCAGTAGTAGTGGTGGTGGTGGTGGTGGTGGTAGCAGCAGTAGTTAGTAGTTAGAAGTGAGCAGTTAGTAGTAGTAGTAGTAGTAGTAGTAGTGGTAGTAGAGGTAGTAGTGGTGGTAGTAGTAGTAGTAGTAGATAGTATCTAGTAGATAGTAGTTAGTAGTTAGTAGTTAGCAGTAGTAGTGGAAGTAGTGGTGGTAGTAGTAGTAGTATCCACAGTGGGTTTGGAGTAAGTCAAGGCACTGAATTGCCACATGGTTGCTCTTCCTCCGTGTGCCTTTGAGGGTCACCGTGTCATGTGCCTCAATCATAGAAGCACATGAGAAACATCTCAATGTTTCCATACTACACGGTCTGTACAACAACTCCATGCACAAATCTGCTGTCAGGAAGCGCAGGCGCTGGTCCAAACGCAGTACTTGCTATTCCACACAGGTGGCAACATGTCAGCCAAGCACAATTGGACTTGGCACGACCCTGGGCAATCCATTGGAACCGGCTTGCTGGAAGACATCTTCGTCTTCGCCTCAAATGGATAAATGGATGCGTAATGGCTTCAAAATGGCTGCGAAGGCGAATCAATCAAAACACAGCACAGCACATCACATCACCCAGGGTTATCGTTTTTAGGAGTTCATATATCGTTTTACAGATCGAAGTGAAGGTTTTTCACTCAATCTCGGCTCCATTACTACTCTGTATGACAGAGAGTTTAGCTTCTTGCTCAAGTAGTTTGGAAGAAGACTCATTGTCAAGTACCGGTTTTGTGGATTGTCTTGCTTCGTTTGGCTTGTGTTGGTTTCCATTGGTTTCAATCTACGGTTTGTTTCTCCGCGCGGATGTTTCGACAGCCTGCCCTGCCCCGGTTGCTTCAGACTAGGCCATGGCGAGAACAGGAAAAAGCGAGTTGAATTAAAGAGACGTGCCGGATTATATAGCTGCTTCAGCCTAGAAGAGGTGATCTTGTCCCTGCCTTGGAACGAAAATAGAACTGTGGAACACTGTTAATAAGCATCATTAGGCTGCCTGCCACTGCGGGCTCGAGCTGGTGGCCGGCGGCATGCCGAAGGCTGTAAATAAGCATGTGGTTAAGCTATTGGTGATTCTTTTTCATGAAGAGGACTCATGATGTATCACGTCGTCTTGGTGTATGTTTTTTGAAACATCAAGGCAAAACCGGGGATCCACGACTCCCGAGCAGAAGGGAACGGACACGCGAATGTTGAGGAGCGGTCCATGGGTGTCGGAGGCAAACAGGGGAGGCAGGAAGGACATGCATTAAAGGCAGAATATGGCAGAATACCAGAGTCGAGTAAGAGATAGGAATTCACATGTGACGTTAGGCACCGGCATGGGTGTATATTCGACGCTTTTGTGCGCGGAACTAGATGAGTTAAAGTTAAAGCTTTTAACTTTACTCATTTTTGGGTGTTGAGAGGGGCGTCAAAGGCCAATGGGAGGAGAGGCAGGAGGGACATGCAAACGCAAAGCCGCAAAGCTAAGTTTACGTTAGGCACCCAAAAGGAAAACAAGGAAGGAGTAAGGAGTGTCAACAATTCTCACTCACTCTGAAGCTACGTGTAGACAAAGCACAAGCCATCCCACCAAAGAGGTCCAAACATTCTAGGGCCTAAAGACTCAGCCTGAAACCACGGATTTGGTCGCCCTGGCGCCTGTCCAACGAGTTCAACAGTCGAACTCATCGTCCGGCGGCTCCGCAGGTCTTGGAGCCCTGGCCGGAACGTCCTCCGCCTTCACGGTGCAGCTGGCTTCTTCTCACCATGACTCGCAACATCTAGCAATCGTGCTCGACGGGGAGAAGAAGCCCGCTAGTAAGGTGAAGGGGGCGGACGCGACGCGGATGTGCTAGTGGCTCCGAAACTGTGGCTCCTTCGGTCCTCTCGGACGAGTTTCGGGGCTCATGGCCCCCATAAAACGGGAGTTTCGGGCCCCACCGGCGTCCGTGTCCACCGGCTTTGAGCCGCCAACGCCGTGTTCATCTCCTTGCTTTTTCTGGAGGTTCACTGCGCCCTGCAGGTCTCCAAAACCTCCAATCCGGCAGGAAACCGCCAAGTGTCCAGTGTGTGGCCAGCAGGCTGATGTCGATGCGCTCCTCCGCCTGAGAGACCGGAAAAACAGAAGCCTCCATCAAAGGAGCTCCCGAAAACGTCTCCACCTTGTCAAGCATGTCCTCAAAGATGTGCCGGGGAACCAAAAGTGAGTTAGGATTTGAAGATCCACCCGGACACTTCAAAAAGCACAGGCAGTGCAAGCTGACAGCTTGAGCCCAAAGGGCCCACCATTTTGGCTAGTGAAATGAAAAGTATATATATACATTATATATATTATATATATTATATCATGAAATGTATTCAAGATGTGCTTTGACATGCTTTCCACATTGCTCCAAGCCCGCACAAATCCAACCGCAAGGAAATGAGACGTGAAGCCTTCAAGGAGTTGAAGCCAGCTGGAGCCTTCAAGGAGTTGAGACATGAAGACATCACCAAGATGCGTGAAGCATTGAGTCGCGTGAAGACTGCAGGCCTCAGTTCTTTGCGTGTTGTGAAAACACCCCTTCTGCCTTGCAGCTGTTGAGTCTGCACAAGTTATTACTAGCATGCCACACGCCCCTGGTGTCCTTTCAGAATCTCATTATATAACTGAATTCATTTGGTGGAATACTTCTCTCCTTCAAACAATTTGAACAACACGCATGAAAGAGCACTATGAGTGCCGCGTAGGCGTAGGTGCCCCTTTATCAAAAACAAGCTGATCTCATGTGTTGTACACTCCCCTTCTTTCCACATCCTCCCTCCTCAGGGCCACACACAGCACATTCTGCATTAGCCCTGATGCTGGACAAGATCTGCTGCAAGGCCTTGTCGCCTGGCAGATCAAAGCGTCCCAAAAGGGAGACTCTGGCAATCTCTGTCAAAGGATATATATATATATATCTGTGTAAAGTGATATATTTTTTGTTGATATTTATGTAGGATAGAAGTCACCCTTCTACTAACAAGGTGCTTAGATCCAGTTGGTTCTACGGTCTTGGACTGTGTTCTTCCCTTTGCTTGCCCCGCGCCTTCCACATCAGCGGACGCCTTCACAATGGAGCTGGCCTGGAACCATGCTTGGCAGCAAACGCGCGTCGTCGCCTTTGTCGGGAAAATAGAGATTCCCTTTTCACAATAGAAGAGTTCTCACGGTGTTTGCACTTTCCCCTTGGCTTGCCCAAACTCGGGCCTGGCTTTGAGAAGTTGTTCTTTGAGTCTCTATGAATGTTCAAAAGCATTCAGTACAAACACAATGCCCAAACCGTAGAAACATTATGAACGAAAATTCTGAAGTACCTGTCCACTAATTACTCCTTCACACCAGGCACCAGGGCTCATGAGTTTCCTCACCTATTACCAAACCACGCTGAAAATCGTTGAAATATGTTCTTCAGAAATCCATCGAATCCCAGTGTCTCAAGAGAAAGGATGAATCCGAATCCAAATAGTTTTAAAACGTTTCAACTGGATTAGAGCCATCCAAACGCAGGCCCTGCGCCTGCGTAAGGCTGGAGGAGAAAGACAACAAGCTTTCGCGCAAGGTGGCGTTTTCCACGAAGAGCTGTTGCATGTGTTCGCCTGAAAGCGCTGTGGAGCGAGTGCGTTGCGCTGCTCTTGTTGCGCTGCAGGTGCCGAGTCTCACGTCGTGTGACGAACCAATGGCATGTGACGACTCTGACAATCGGTGAAATGCAATCGGTTGTTATTTCTGGCAGAGATCCCATCTGGCTTGAATTGAGCGTTGCAAACCCTTTTTCTCGAATAATGGCAGGGGCTGTTCATTGTCTTGAGACCACTGTCCTACAAAAAAGTGGAAATGGGATGACATGGAGGGGTCCTCTCATGTTGTTTTGAACATCCTAAAGCAGTGCAATGTCTCTCTATATATAGAATATTCATGAATATTCGCTCGCACGATAAGCAAAACAACATCGGGAGCTTTGCGTCTGACCAACGGAGAATGGCAGAACCGGCAGTTAAGTTTTGAAAGGGATCATGATTGTCAAATAAACAAGTGGAACAGTTGTCATGAAAACCACCTTCACATTGGCCAAACGGTGTTGGACATGTGTTCTCCGTTTCTTGAAGGCCACCTCCGAAATTGCCAAAAGGCGGAAGTGGGTGACGTGGCTCAGAAAACCCATGACACACCACAGGTGTGGATGTTCTGATTTTTCCAGGGCCAAGGAGTAAATTTAATTACATCGATGTTTTGTCCACCTTCATGACTTGGTGGATGGTACGATGGAGGCGCCACATCTGACGGAGACGCATGGAGAGGCTGTCAAGAGACTCATTGATTCCAAGAACTCCAGGCTGGATGCGAGCAATCCGCGGAGCTTTTCTTGATCTGCCTGGCACAAGTTTGATGCAGTTTTTTCCTTTTTTTTTTGGCCATCTGTGCAACCTTCTCTGCGTTCGTTTCGAAACAACCTTCAAAACGTGTCAAGATCATGAAATCAGCTACTAGAGGCTCCTGGCCTTACTTACTTACATGGTGCAAGGATCGAGCCTTTCCACGACTGTTCAAGCGCTTGGTCAGATGCTGGAAGCGTAGTTGAAAGAGCTCCTTCTCCAGAGACTGCTTGCGCTCTTGACATCTGGAGCTCTCCTATGATGCCACAAGCACGTCGATTGATCACACTCTCGGCAATCGACTTCAGGTTGGTGGACTTGGAAAAGAGTTGTTTGAGGTTGGGTAGCTCAACCGTCGGAAAGTGACTCTCGAAGTTCACGATCGCAAATGAAAAACCGCTCTCAAAAGCAGCCGCGGACTTTTCGCGGACTCGTGGCCATCAGGCTTCAAGGTGCGCATGCCCTCCCAGCTATCGGGAGGAAAACAGGTGGTTCGAGCAACAAAGCGGCAAAGCTTCGGCTTCGTCCACGAACCTCAGTGAACCTGTGCAGCAGCGAAAACATGTGATGGCATCACATTCACACCGGTCAAAGGTGGTGTGTCAAGTGGTTGCTGCTGCTTCGGCCTCCTGCTCTTCGTACAGGTCTTGGCCAAGGTCGTGGGCGCATACCCTGCAAGGTACGAGGGTGTGCGTCACATTCGCTGTGCGCTGGCTCGCTCATTGCTGACTTGCATGCCAGCTACTTCCATAGTTGGTGTGGAAGATGCTGGCATTTATGGCAAATCTCAGGCGGTTGCGGGCTCTGACTCGGACTTCTTCTTTGTACCGAGTCCTCATGGTCTCTGCTTGCAGCTCGTAGTTCTCCCGTTGTCGACGGAAGTCCTTTTGGAAGCAGGTTTGTTGGTCTTGTAGTCGTTGTTCAGCCTGGTGGAGCTGTGCTTGTAGGTGAGTGTTCTGTGCCTCGAGTTGTTTTATCTGTCTCCTGAGGGAGATGAGTGTCTCTGGCTCGACATGTGTTGTCTGAGTGCTCTGGTCGTTCTGTTTGTTGTCGCTGCCAGTGTGTTCTTCTGGATGCGGCACATCCTCATCTGTTCTGGCGGGCTGCTGTGGCTTGTTTGCCACTCGGGTGCAGAGGTGCCATATCAGGTTGGCGAGCATCGCAACCATCAGGGTGAAACCTGTAAGGAAGATGAAGTTTTGGTTGTCCATCAGGTGGTCTTGGAAGTTGTCTGTGTGTTCAATGGAGTGCGCAGTGGTTGTGGTAGCTAGAGAGGCGATCATAGCCATTTGGGCCAATGGCTTGGTGAGCGCGTAGCGCATCTGGCTTTGCTTTCGGCTTTCCAAGGTCTTTTTCTTGGATGCTGTGAAGTTAGGATCCGGCTTCAGGCATGTTGTGTGGCTTCGTAGTCTTTGTGCTAGCAAGCCTGCTGCACTCTGTTTTGTCACGCCGTCTGCGAACTGTAGTTCGCTTGAGACCCAGGAGACGGTCGCTCCTGTGCAGGACAGTTTGTCCCGTGTCACTAGCACTTCGATGCTAGTCTGTTTGTCTGTTTGGGATGCTGTCTGTAGGTCTTGTTTGACCAGCAGGTCGTACAGAGCCTTGGCGTCGATGATGAGCCGTGGCGAGTGCTTCACCTTTGGTGTGTTGCTGTCTTCGAGGGCTAGATATGGTGACCATATCAGTTTCCAGAAGGTGGAAGCGTACAGCAGTGCATCTGCTGCTTCTGAGGCTGCCTGGCTTTCTGCTGCCAAGCTGGATCGGGCGATCCTTGGGAGTTTCCATGATCTCCAGTCGATCAGGTGGTAGCCTCCTTCTGAGCCTGTTGTGACTGAGTGGTGTGTCATCATCACCAAGTGACCTCCTTGTGAAGTCAGGTCTGCTCTTGAAGCGAATGCAGCGTCGCTGTAGACAATGAATGTCATCTCTTCTGGCTTGCCCAGCTTTTGGAATCGTAGACCCACATCTGAGTATTGTTTGGCGTAACGTAGGCATTTGTTGGCTTCTCGAAGAGTCGAGATGTTGGCGCGACTCACTTGTCCAGCTAGCATGCTGGTCATGGCTTGGACATGAGGGCTGCTCTGAGTCGAGGGCCATTGGAGTGCTCCGACAATGCCTCGCAACATTGTGCGTTGTTTCTCTGTCACTGGTTGGTCGTTGGGTCCATCTTCAAAGCTAATGGGCTTCTGCTTTGCCATGTAGGCAGTGTGTTGTAGTTCGTAATGATGTTCATTGATCCTTTGGATCTTTGCCCCACAGTACTCTATGTCTGTGTTCTGTTCCCATGTCCGGAAGTTGAAGGTCTTCCGCAGGGATGCAATGAACTTTGCACAGTAGCTGTTGTCCATGTCGGCACATCCAAGGATGTCGTCTACGTGCAATCCGAAGATTCCGACCAGGGGTGGACGTTTCACTGTATTGCCGTTGTCATCGGTCTGGTGTGTCCAGGAATCTTCTCCTGCCTCATGATCGTGGATCAGGAAGAGGCATGGATCCAGTGGGTGGACTGTGGCTCCCAGGCGCGTGATGCGCTCTCGTGCTTCACTGTACCATGCTCGAGGAGCATCGCATAAGCCGTACATAGGCTTTTTGAGCTTCATGAGGGCGTTGTCGCCATCGGTGCCAGTGAGGCCGAGGAGTCGTCTGGCGTCTGCAGTGGCAATTTGATCCATAGTGTGCGATGGCTAGGATGTTCCTTGCCTTGGAGGAATGCTGTGCTGACATCTGCGCTGAAGCTTGTCCAACCATTGTTGGCGCAGATTGAGAGGATGTAGTTTCGTCCCATCCGACTCAGCGTTGGAGCGTCAGTGCTGAGTTGGCCATTTAAGGCATCAGGATCTTTGAATCCTTGGGTGATGAGCCTAGCTTTAGCTCTGGGTTCACCGTTTGGCCATTTTGTCCACTTCAGGATGAAGTGTGCTTTGAGAATTCGGTCGCTAGGGACCGTGCCGTTGTCTTTGACCATTTCCCACACGTCGTTCTGGAAGAAACTTTCCAGTTCTTTCTTCTTTGCCTCCATGAAGGCGAGGCGATCAGCGAGTGTCATCCTTCGCTCATTGAGCTGATCCTTGCGGGCTTTGATGCCCGGCATGCTGTGGCCTGGTGGGCCTGTTTCTTCGGCTGTGTGTGCCTGTTCGGTGGTAGGCTCGACGTATGTCTGGTGGCCATGGCTGACATTGTAGAAAGCTTCATGAGCAAGCAGGCGGTAGGCCGACATGATTTTGAAGCTCGTCCGTCCTGTCCAGGCATGTTCTGTGGTTATGTTGCCCTTCTTCTTCCATCTGTCGTACTTGTTGAGGTTGGCTGAACCGGTTGTGTGTCGGTCTTTGCTGATGTAGTGCAAAGGCAAAGGGCATCCAGCTGTTCCGTCGGCTGGGTCAAAGAGCTGGTTCCGTGGGATGTAGTGGCGACGTATCAGCTTGTTGTTCTGAATTGTCCATTCGTCCTTGCAGACGTCCAGGGTCAGGAATCCATTTTCTAACTTCCAGCCCGGTGGCAGTGTTGAGTCATCGACTCTGTTGAGATCAGTGTCGTAGGTGCTGAGGGTGAGTGCCATATCTGGATCCGGTGGTGCCGGTTTGGCATATGGTGTCGGACCTCGTGTGGTGTTGTGACCTCTTGCTTGTGGTCCGTATCGGTCGTGTCCAGATGCGGTTGGCTGGAGAGAGAGTGTCTCTTGTCGATCAGATCGCGTCCTCTGGTCGTGGAAGCTCTCTGTTGGCGCTGGCGGTGCATAAAGTTGCTGCTGATGTTCTGGAATTTGTCCACCATCATAGTGCACACTAGCCGTGGTGGCATGTGGTGTTGGTACACCGTGTGTGCTGGGTGGTGGTTCTGGTTCGCCGGTGCTGTCCTGTTCTGTGATCTCTGTAGTGTTCAGATCAACTGTTGGTGCTCCTGGTGGTGCCCCTTGGCGTGACTGTTCATGAGCTGCTGTTGTGTTGATCTGTGGTTCGTCTCCAGGTGCATGTCCATCTCCATCCTCATCCATCGGTGTTGGGGTGGTAGTGGGAACATTCGGTGGACTGCTGCTGGAACCGCTATGTCGGTCTGTTCTCAGGACAAAGGTGGTGCTTCCTGTCCATTGGAATGGCATGGATCTGGTGGCATTTGGCAATGTCCAGTCATCTTGGAAGACTGTTCTGTTTCGGGCCGGTTGGTGTGGCCTCATGATGACGGTTCTCCGGATGTCCTGGAAGTTCTGCCACGGTGCTG